CCCCCCCCGAAGACACACTCCATCTGTTAAAAAAAAAATACACAAATATTCAGAGTTATTAGAACTGGGTCTCATTTTTAGATTTTAGATCCACATTCAAAACAGAGACAGGAAGGTTGTACACTATGTCCTGATGTAATTCAAGCAGGCACTTTGTTTTTTATTTTTCCAGTCTGAAGTTTTGGCTTCAAATCATAAAGTTGGGTTCAAGTCCAGGACTAACACCTGAAAATAATTTAGACCCACTGACATCTCTGCTCTTACTAGAGGAAACTTACTTCTTTCAGGAAGCTTTTCATGTGAGTGAAAAGATAAAAAAGATGTGAGGCTGGAAGTTTGAGCTACAAGAAGGCTGCAAAAGAACCCCGAGCAGGTATTTTAATGGTCACTGTGGTCAGTAGTTCTGGGACTATTGATTTTCAGGTCTCACTTAGGGCAGTCATCTGGAAAGTGATGAAGGAATTAATTGAGAGCCATTGATTAGTTTCCAGGTGACATCACATGGCTGCTGCTATAGGTGATCTAAATAGACCAACTTGATTAGTGCTTCAGTAAAATTCAAATAATAAAGAAAAATGCTGGGCAAACTGTATTACTCTTACATCGAGCATGCAGGTCTACCTATTTGATGGTTAACTAAGGCACATGTTGCCCAAAGTTGTCCAGAGTAGCACAGGGAACTACTATGCTCTGCATGTCTTAAAGACCTTTATATCTAGTACAGACATACTAATTGTGCAATCAAACTAATTGTGCAATCAAACTAAAAATATTATGCTCATAACAGAATTTAAAAATAATTTTGTGAAACGTTAAAAATTAATTCACAACTGTCTTGTAGGCATAGTTGAGAATTAAATACTTACTTTCCTGTAGAAGCATCACCATGGTAAAACTAAATCTCATATTGTAATTGTACAAATGCTGTAAAAATACATTTTAATTACCATCTTACACAGCATTTCCTGCAGCTACCCTTGGAATAATCCAGTTGGATTGTTAGGAGTCTTTCAAAGCCATCTGTACATGGGTGGAACATTTAAAACATGATTACACTTAGAGAAGCAAATGGCCGTAAGAGAGGTTCATACTCAAGAAATATATTCCTCTAGGTGTCTCTAGACCCAGCCAGCAGTGGAAGGGAACGTGCTGTACACAGCAAGACTTTTCAGTGGTAATGTGGACTTAGTGCCACTTGTGGCGAGAAGGTTTCTCAACCCCAACATGAAGCAAGTGGTCACAGCTCCAGCGGAAAGGCAGATCTGTACACCAGTCAGTCCTGGGGGATGTGGACTTAGCCCTCAAAGCCAGGACTTAAAACTGGCCGTTCTGCTTCCCACACACGTCTCACTAACGAGTGGTTCTTTGTTAGGTGTATCTCTCATTTCTTCATGGCAACATTGATACAATCTTATCATTAAAATGTAAAAGGCCAGCAGTTTTTGAAACCTCAGCAGAACTCCTGTTTTCTGGTAAGTCTTCATTCTGAAACGGTAAGGTTTGTCAAATTAGTATCAGAGTTTAGGCAACGACACATTTACATCATATTTGAAAGGGGTTTTAATAAGTCTGGAAATTATACTCAGGAACGTGCTCTCCCAAATGCAGTACAGTGCATTTTGAGTCCATTTATCAGAGGAGATGAATATTACCTGTAGCTTCTACTGATATGGGTACAGTGTTTGAGTACCTGTTACCTCTGAACAGGATCAGCAAGCATTAGGTCTTAGCCAGAAGCTGCATTGTCCATTTTTATATTGTATGTTGTTAGTATTTTATACTCTATTAGGAAAATTACTTTTCAAGAGTTTAAAGAAAATACTCTGTTAGGAAGATGACTTTTCAAGAGTTTAAAGAAAACCCTAAGCTCAGCACCCATGTTGTATTACAATTAGATCTTGACCTTGCAGAATACAAAGATTGTTCCCAAAAGACCTATTAATATTCCTTGACTCATTTTTAAGCAAATTAATCTTGTCTCTTCAATAATTGTGGAGAAAGTATAGCCAACGTTTTGTGAATATAAGCAGACTGAAGCGAAGGTAACAGTCTTTTTACAGTTTGTATAAATGGGTTGTCAGTCAAGGGCTTCTTTCACTACACTGTATGTTATGATGTCAGTTTTCCCGTAGTTTGATACTTAAGCTGTGATGTCATAGCAAATTATGTCATAACACTAATGAAGCAGCTTCCTTCTAACAGCCCCCAGAGACCCACATTACAAACACGAGGTCTCCTTCTGTGGGATGCCATCCCTGCAGAGTCCTGTGGAGTGGAAACTTACACCGATTTTGGGATAGTTACTGGGGTGACAGGTGATGGGCAAGGTGCATCACCCTCAGAGCTGACACGGGGAGAGGTGGCGCTGCCAGATGCCCTCTGGTCCGTGCTCCTTTCCTGCCCTTCCTCTGCGTGCCTGCTCTCTCCTCTCGCTGTCAGCTCTGCAGGATGACCCACCGGTACCTGACCTGTGCTGGGGTGGTGTTATCTCCCATCACCGCTGCCTCCCCTCTGCATTTCATTTTCCATCGGAGGCAGTGCTGTGCGTTCAGGTTGTAGATTCCTGGGCACTGTTCAGGAGTGTTTCTCTGGTAGGCTGGAGTTCGGTTCTTTTGAGCTGTGCCAAGCAGCACTGAGCTGTGATGCACAGGAATTGCCCACTTTCTCCAGGGCTCTGTAATGATAACGGGATGTGCAGCAGGCATCTGACTCCCCTCCAGCTGCCAAGCCATCTACACAGTGTGTGTTGGTTGGACTGCTCAGGGCGTCAGCCTCTGGCGGTCTGCAGAGTGTCATTTTTGTCTATATTGATCCAACTCTCTCTGTATCGTGGCAAATGAATCTTATTTCAGAATGATTGCAGGCAGGATTTTCCGTAGTAATAGTTCATCTGTTGCCTTCTTGCTGCTTCACTGGAGTTCCTTTTTCCCCAGTTCCCATTCGAAAAAAATCCTTAAAACTACTTTCAGTTTACCTGATATAGTCACAGTACACATCCTATACAAAACCAGTACAATTATGTAGAAAATTCAAAATTAGACTAGTATTTCACAAAATGGATGAGCTTTCATGGATTTTAAGTTCCAGTGCCTCCATATGTGCTATAGCCTACTTCAAAAGAGAAGGTATTTACAGCTGTCACTTCCTAAACACTACTGTAAAAAGCCCCGTCCAGTTTAGAATCACAGCCATTTTTTTTATAAGGTGACAAAACGTTGCTTGGTTTTAGAGGCAGCAGTTTGCTAAATAGTTGGTAGAATGGTGGGAATGGAATGAAACACTGACATGCCAGAACCAAAATATGATTTGTCTCTGCAAAGATTTTGTCTTCTCCAGAATTTCTACTAGAGATCCGTGGGAACTGCTCTTTTTGATTCACTGCCATTATACTTGATGTTTTTCTTGTTGATGACAACTTCCAAGTTCATGCTGGACAGGTATTGAAAATAGATTTTTCTACCATCAGGACACTTTGGTGTTGATGTAGATAACTATTCTTTTTTTAAGTGAAAAACAGTTGTGGGGACAAAGGTGTTTGAGATTGAATTCCTGGCTCAGATTTACCTGCTCGTGCCACTGTATACCCCAAGATCATGACAAAGCTTGTACTCATTTCAGTGAGTGCCAGGAGAATTGGTTTCTAAGATCCACTCTTGCGAGGTGATGTTCGTGGGGAGTGACAGAGCCGTGTCCGAGGGCTGCTCAGTGCCCAATTCTGCATCAACCCCCACTGATGTCAATGAGAGCTGAGGTGACCCAGCGTCTCCCCGGGACCAGTCTGGATTGCATTTGTTTAGTTTCTAAGCCATTTTAATCCTCTGTTTCGAATAAAGAAATCACGATTAGGGTGCATTTGCCTTTCTTTGGTTACCTGGCACATGAGCCCATTTAAAGCCCTGCTCCTTCTATCCACTTGAGCTCTTAGAGTCTTTTAATGCCCATATTTCTAAACAAATGATACAAATTTTACACCTATTTTTTTTTCTGTCAAGGTACAAGGCAGTGGAAAATCTGTCTCGCCATCTCTGACTTGTTCTTTGTGTTGGTTGCGAATAACAGCAGTTGAAGCACGATGTTCCTGCTTTTCTTAGCGAAGAGAGGAACATGTTGAGCTACCTCTGCCGGTGATGGAGAGCGGCTGCATGGCCGAGCCCTGGCTTTGTCCTGAGATTGTGTCTGCTTAAAACCAAACAGACCAGAGAAAGTCCATCTGCTTGTTTATTGATTTAGGACTCTTCCTGCCTCTTTCTGGGAAAGAAAAAAAGGAACAAAACCCCACCCTCATTATTT